AAAATTAGGTCGACAACCTATTTTGGACGAATTTTTACATCATATAGTAACCAATTCTATCCGACAGTATTTTACCGGTGTCAAGGTCTGACCCAGAACTTCTTGTAAGTCAAAAGAGAAGAGCTATGTGAGTTTCCATTCAATGTAATAGAAGAAAAAGTGTTGATTAGAAGGAACGTAACAATTAAACAAATTCTATAAAAATAGTATTGGACTGTTTTAATTTAAGCGGGAAGTTAAAATGGAAAATTTTGTTTGGACAACCAAGACTGGTTTACCTCCTTGTGTTCATTTGTTGTCATCAAATCAATCCTCTTCCAAATCTAAATTGAAAATTTGCTGTCACCAAATAAATAAATTTTGCCTAGTTTATCAAAATAATTGATACTAATGAGAAATTTTTAGATATCATATCTTCAAAATAATCAAAAAAAGGTTACAAAATATGTTAACGAATAATAAGAATCCAGGTTCTAGATCAATCAAGCCAGATTAAAAACATGATTTTTTAGAAACCCTAAACACTAACATAAAAGAACAAAATTCAATTGCCACATAAGCTGACTAAAGACAGAAGCTTTATTACATAAGTGTCGAAACCCGGGAACCGACAGAAGCTTTATTACATAAGTGTCGAAACCCGGGAACCGGACCGGAGAGTTGGAGGACGAGCAAGTGAGCAACGGAGCTTCTCTGCACTAGGCGGCGACGCGAGCCTGAGTTATACTATTATTGTCTTATACGGAGGATTTTTATAATTTTTCAATTAGGAATTGTATTGTATTACGAATAGGAATTTTAATGTAGAATTATATTACTAATAGGAAAGTAAGAAACAATATATATTTTAGGGATAGGTCAAATAGACCCTCATACTATTTAGTAAAGTGCAATTAGGCCCTCGAACTAAAAAACATCCAATTAGACCCTTGAACTTATTAAAACAATGTAATTAATCCATTTAACCTATAATAGCAAGTTATCTTCAAGTTACCTACAAGATGCTACATCACTTGAATTAATATTTTTAAATTTATTTTTAAAAAATAAAATAATTTTAATAAAACAAAGGAAACAAACAAACAGAAAAGTCATTGCAGTTGCAGCAATGGCGAGGCTCTTTCCGGCGAGCAGAGGCCACCGGCGACTTCCTCTTGTTTTCACTCCCTCCAGCAGCGGCAGGCCAGCGATAGTAACTTCCCCTCCGGCGTGTAGTAGATCGGCAACGTCTGGACCTCGTACGGAACCAACAACAACTCCGGTGAACAATCTATTTTGGCGAAGCATGATGTGTTTCTCAGCGACCTCCCCTTCCCGTCGACCTTGACCTGCAACCTTGGCAATGGTGTTGGACTAGCTGTTGGTGGTGATGGTGAAGTTCCGGCGATGGTAGCAAGGTCGGATGAGTAGCAACGTATTTTGAAGAAGATGGATGGTGATGTGCCGATGATGAGATGTTCTTGACGATGATGATGCTTGGCTGACAAAAGCAAAATTGTGGAAATAATGAAAATGGATTAAGGAGGTAAATGATGGATTTATGATGTTGAAATTATTGGTGGTTATGATTAATAATGGATTAAGCATGCCAGTAAACATGCGGCTTCACAGCCTTCATTGCTTCGACTTCCTGTAAATTTTTTTTTAAATTTTTTTATTGAATTTAACCGGTTACCTTTTAGTAACATATTAAATATGTTAATTGCATTGTTTTAATAAATTCAAGGGTCTAATTGGATGTTCTTTTACTTCGAGGACCTAATTGCACTTTGCTATATAGTATGAGGGTCTATTTGACCCTTATCCCTATATTTTATTAAAAAGCTAGATTTTTAGGAATTGGGCGGAAAGTTAAAGTTCAGGATTTTATTTTTATATATAATATAGATAGATTAATTAAAAATAAACATTGAAACCTTTAAAAATATAATGAATATTTATTGGTGATTCAGAATATAATTTTTACCCAATAAAATGTGGGTTTAATGAAATGGTAGGTTTTTTTAAAATTAATTTCCTAGTGCATATGGGAGCGGGAAAATATATATCTTCTTCTATCATTAACGGTTGCCTAATCCCACCGGCATTGGAATTAGGTTATTCTATTTCCCCAATATATATGTATTTTTCATAGCTTCCTAAAATTAAAACAAATATGTGCAGTGCCCGCAGTTTCATGGTTTACACGCACTCTGAAAATATAATGTCTGAAAATAGCCCAATGGAGAGTCTGTCTTCAAATTCAACAACTACAACGGTGGAGGATCACCCACCTACAGCTGCTGCTCATCCGCAGGCCGCCGTGAATCCTTCTCTCTCCGCCGCTGCCTCTCTTAATAATGTCCATCCATATCAAGAACCACCCGTTCTCCCTCTGCCAGTGCCCAATCATCATCAACAAATTACGCTTTTTTCAGGATCAGATCATGAAGACAACCCCACTCCCACTGCTCTAAGTCTCTTTCCTTGTGCCCCAACAATTCAAGATTATTATTCCCCAACCAAGAATCATGGTAATTTCGCAGACCTAATTGACGCTGCTTCCTCCTTCTCCCTCTCCCTGTTACTGCCGATAAATAATGGATCCAAGAAACCGATCAAGAATCATCATCGTTGGGATTTTGATGATGAGCTTATTCACGCTGCTTCCTCCCTCTCTCTCTCCCTGCCAACCAAACGCAAAAGATTCATAATTATTGCTCCCAAGAAACCAGCAGAAGAGGAGGAGGGAGTCATCGCCAAGAAAAAGAAGGTGGTGGATAAAACCTCCCCAACTGGGCAGCCGCAACCACTGGGAAATCATCATCATCACTGGATACATAAGCGGCTATGTACAAGTGATGTGAACCCTCCATCAAGGCTGTTGCTGCCCAAAGAGGAAATTACAAAATACGTGTTGCCTCTCATGGATATGGAGAGCTGTAGAGCTTGTCAAAACACGGATGGGTTTAGAGTCAAAATATGGGATTTGGACACTGAGTCACAGCATCAACTCACCCTCAAGCAGTGGGAGACTGGCAACTTTCTTTTCACTAGAAAATGGAATACAGAGTTTGTGAAAAGGAGGAGTTTGCACCAGGGTGACACCATTTCCTTGTGTTGGGACTTTCCGAATCTAAGGTTCTTGTTTCGCAAGTTCAATGCCCAATCGATCTTAGAATGATTCAATCATTAATTATCTAATTCTATCAAATTTTGCTACGATCCATGCATCTCCATATGTACGAATCTGCAGGATTCTAAACTTCCCATTTGTATATATGATTAGTAAATATTACTCCCTATTATATATTGACTTCAAATCTATTTTGCATCACTTTGTTATAGTTACAATTCTCTCTATTTTCATATATATACTTAAAAGCTTTTTATTTAAAATGTACAAATAATGACTCTGATGGGTAACATAGTTAGCTTATCAGTCAAATTCGATTTTTTTTTTGTCACTATTAGATGTATGACTTGGTTAAATAGCTAATTGCTCCAAAACCTTAAAATTCAAAAAGCACTCAAAGCAAAGCTTTTTGAGAAATAAAGTAATTTTGCATTTAATCAGTTATTAGCTAACAACTAATTTTTTCCAAATATATTACTACAACAATCAGCTAATGCTATCAACTAGTTACCCACTAACTCAATCAACTAAGAACTATTTACCAAACACCCCCAATATGAGTAATTGTTGAATATATTATTTCTTTGTATAGTATAGCTGAATTTATTTAGCACACCCTACCCCAATCAACTGTAATCGGAGAACTGACATCAACTGCCCAAAAAAAAAAAAAAAAAAAAAAACTCTACTAGCTAAAGCATAAATATAATTATACAATTACCAAATACAAACATCTCTAATCAAAACAACAATAAAATAAATTCAAGGTTCATTCTTCCAACCTTAAAATGTTCATTATTTCAATAAAAAAAATTATTATTACCCAAAGGACATGAAATGAGATCATTATGTAACTGTAACACCCCCGAATTTTACCAACAATTTAAAACTTAAATTCAAAGATTAACATTCTAAACATTAATATCAGAAAAGCAGAAGCTAACATAATCCGGGAAAGGTGCTATGCCACACCCATAAAACTACGGGTGCACAGGCTAAGTCTACAAAATCCATCATAACAAAACATTTGTCTAAGGCACACATGCCGCAAACTAGGCACACAAGCCACATCTATCTAAGGCTCACAGGCCCACATCTAAACAAAAGGAAGCAAGCTACGCTAACTAGATCTACTAGCGCGCTCTCCAACCTAATCAAAACCTGTAAAGACAAGGGATGACACCCGGTCAGCGAATAAAGCTGGTAACCCACCAATACGCGTTAAGTATCAATATATATATACATAGATACAATCAAAACCATTTGGAACTAAGGAATACAGTATATAGCATTTAAAAACCAAGAGACGAGACAACAATCAATCATAACACACTCTCAGCAAGGATCAAGGCCCACAACTCAATCAAATCAATAGAGACCACAACAACAAACGACAACCATAACTCTAGATGCAACATACCATGCACAAGGTAGAGTTCATCATACACATGCACATAAGCAAGGAATTGCATCAATCACATAATGACAAGTTTATGTTTCAACATTATACCTTAGTACCACCCTTATGGCTACCCCAGGCCTTATCACAGTTCCAACCTATACCTCCGAGTGCCAACCTTTACTTCTGAGTCCAACCTTTTCCCGATCTGGGACCGTCGTCCCCCGCCAAACTTCCACCAAACAATACCGCCAAACTTCTTTAGTAATAAATTGAACTTCTGATTAATCTTTAGTTATAATCTGTTTAGTTATACTGCTAAATTGATTAGTTTAATATACTGCTATATACTATTAGTAATAAATTGATTAAGTATAATCTTTACTTGTTTATAGTAATAAACTAATTATGTTTAGTTGTTTACTTGTTTATAATATTTAATATTAGATACTTAGATAGTTAGATGTTACTTTGTTTATGTGTATTGATGGTTAAATATTTAATAAATTATATAGGATGACAAGTAACAATACAAATGAATCTATTCCTGAAGAAGTTAATGTGCAAGTTACAACTACAACTACATCAATTTCTTCAAGTCAACCAATTGAAAGTAACAATTCTGAAGAAGTTAATAGGGTTGATAATGATTCAATCTTAACAAAAAAGCGGAAAAAAACATCTGCGGTATGGAATCATTTTGAAGAAATTGTACTTGCTAATGGTACAAAGAAAGCAGTGTGTTTGTATTATAAGGAAAAATACTCTACTGGTGGAAAGGGTGGAAGCACTAGCCATCTTAAGAGGCACTCAGAGATTTGCTTGCAGCGCAAGTTGCATATCTCTCGAGAAAATAAGCAAACAACGATACAATTTCACCCGCCTAGTGAATCTGGTGGTAATCCTTTTATTGTTCCTAATGCTAAATACTCCAATGAAAAGATGAAAGAGATTATTGCTAGTGGAATCATGGTGCATGAGCGACCATTTAGCATCGTAGAGGATGACATGTTCATGTGGGCGTTTGAATATGCAAATCCAAATTTTAGAAGAGTTAGTCGTAAAACATCAAGAAGTGATTGTCTGCAATTGTATAAAGTTGAAAAGAATACTTTGAAAAAGATTTTGAATAATGTGAGTAAGGTTAGCATTACAACAGACATGTGGAAGTCAAGTCACCAAGTAGTTGAGTACATGGTTGTGACAGGTCATTTTGTTGATGCAAGTTGGAACCTTCAGAAGAGAGTTTTGAATTTTGTCAAAGTGGATCCTCCTCAGCGAGGAACAGATATAGCAAATGCTATTTTCAAGTGTTTGAGAGGATGGGGCATTGAGAATAAAATATTCTCAGTAACTGTTGACAATGCATCTTACAATGACTCTTGTGTTAGAAGTTTGAAAGAAAACATGTCATTGAGCAGTAAGTTAGTACTTGGTGGGCAACTTTTTCATGTTAGATGTTGTGCTCACATTCTGAATTTGTTGGTGCAAGATGACCTTAACACTATTAAAGATGTCATTCACAATGTTCGTGAAAGTGTGAAATTTATAAATTCTTTAGATGCAAGGTTAAAGTCATTCCATGAAGTTGTTGAATTAAAAGGATTGAAAGAAAGGAAACTTATTCTTGATTGTCCAACAAGATGGAACTCCACATTCTTGATGTTGTGTACTGCAAGTAAATTTAAGCATGCATTTTCAGATTACAATGAAAATGAGCCACATTATAAGTATGCACCATCATTTGAGGATTGAGACAAGATTGAGAAGGTTTGTAAACTTTTGGAGGTTTTTAATGATGTCACTCATGTCATCTCAGGTAGTGATTATCCTACTTCTAACTTGTATCTAGTTGAAACTCAAAGGGTGAAAAAGGTTATTGATAAAGCAACTGAGTGTTTTGACATGTTCATGAGTGATATGGAAAAACCTATGAAAGTAAAATTTGACAAATATTGGGGGGAGTGTAATTTGTTAATGTCTATTGCATGTGTTTTGGATCCAAGGATGAAATTAAATGGTATTAAGATAACTTTTCCCTTATTGTATAAAACACCAACTGATGTTGAAAAGAATGTGGAGAAGGTGAAAAAGGCATTAGAAGATTTATATCTTGATTATGTGAACTTGTATAGTCAAGATGCTTCTTCTACTAGTGGACATAGTGAAGTCAATGTTGAAAGCAGCACTCTAGTTGATGGTGGACAACAAATGGATAAAGGGATGCAAGAAATATTGAGTATGGTCTACCAAAGTCAATCAATTCCTCTTATGAAATTAGAGTTGGAGACTTATCTTGAGGAAAATCTTTTTATTAGTTCTTCTACTTCATCCTTTTGTGCCTTGGCGTGGTGGAAAAATAATAGTCCAAAGTTTAAGTTTTATCAAAGATGGCTTCTGATATACTAGTTGTTCCTATTTCAAGTGTGGCATTTGAATCCACATTTAGTGCTGGGGGAAGAGTCATTGATGAATATCGTGCTAGCTTAAATGAGGAATCTATTGAAGCTCTTATTTCTGGTGGGGATTGGCTTCGTAACAAGTATGGACTGAAGAAAAAACAAAAGGTAAGAATCTACTTATTACTTTAATATTTTATATTATTTTATATTACTACTTGTTACTTTAATATTTATGGTTTATGATTTATGAATTATGAGCACTTGAACTTGTAATGGACTTTATTATTGATTCTCAATTTTTTTCATTGTGTCGGGGAATTCTGGACAAGAGGAGATTATGTTGAAGCCATGACTTGTTTAATTTTATGTTTGAATACTATTGTTGTTATTATGTTTAATGTTTCATGTTTGTATTGTGGACTTATGATTTTTGTTGTTGTTAAACTTGTGAATTTATGATGGACTTTTGTATTATGGACTTGTAGACTTGAAGTTATCAAACTTGTATGATTTTTGTATTATGAACTCCTACTTATTAAACTTGTGTTGTTGGACATTTTATTATAAAATATGAACTTGGTTTTGTAGTTTATGATTATTAGTTGATTGTAATTTAATATTTTTTTTTATTTTTTACAGGTGTATATTAAAAGTCTTTAAAATGTAGACTTTAAATAGACTTTGAGCCTATTTAAATATTCTCAAAGCCTATTTAGAACCTACTTTGAAGCCTTTTCAAAAGCCTATTTAGTAAATATGCTTTTAAAAAGGCTTTAGGCTAGGCCAGGTCTACTGCAGGCTCAGACTTGAGCCTAGAAAAAAGCCTACATACAGGTCCAGCTTAATTTTTAAAAGCCTGGCCTGGCCCATTTCCACCACTAGATAAGGGCATAAATGTACTTTCAATCTTTCTTGTTTGTTACAAAAGCGCCCTCCACACTCTGACCCGACATTGTCAGAAGTTGTAAATCACAGTAATTCAATGGCTCAGTAGACAGGGTCAAATGCCGGTGCACACAAGAAATATGCCCACTTTAGACATAATTCCCACACTGCTGCCGCCGAGGTTCGAACCTTGGTCTCTTCTCCCAAATACTGTCCACTAAACGATTGAACTAAACCCATGCAGGTACAACTGACTCCAACTTATTTAAATAACTGGCAGTCTTCCCCTTTCAATGCAATGTCACTTTCCACTTTCTCTCTAAAATGAATAAACAAATCAACCCCTTTCCATATCTTCTTCACCCGTGAGCTCTCTTCACGAAATGGTATACTGCAAGTGCATATACATCTCTCTTTTAGACGTCTCTCTAACATATTTATATGAAATATTTTGACAGTTAAGAAATGTTACATGCAAGTTACAGTAGTTCAAAACTCCAACTTTCAATATATATATATATATATATATATATATATATATATATAGAGTGAAAGGTTCCCGTGCGGTGAATGCTTCCCGTGCGGATGTGCGTGAGATTTGTACTCAATGTGCTGAGTGTTGTGCTTAATGTGCCTGAAATTTGTACTTAATGTGCGTGAATGTGTAAAATGCAGCAGAAAATATTGATGACAGCTTCTTCCCCATCCCCAGTAGGCAGTAGCCATTTGCCTCCTCCCTGATGATGATGATGCGGAGGCGAGCTATGGTGGTTAAAAATTATGGGAATAATACAACAGAAATTCACACTTAGCTGCTGTGCAAATTTTACTGTGCATGCATCATTTATATAAACATTCAACTGCACTGAAGGTAGCTGATAATCCAGAATCCATGGCCAAAATTGAAGGAAGAAGTAACAAGAAGCTTGGGCGTTAATGTGCGTGAGTTTCTGTTCTGCTTCCTTCTGAGCTCGTAATTCTAATTCTGAAATACGCACGCACATTAAGCACAAATCTCACGCACATTAATTCATCAG